CTAGCCTAGTCCCCTTTACCTTCCACACCCTACAAGCCATGTGAAGTAACCTTTTAAGGGGTTCTTGCATCAGCTGAGGGAAAAGAAATCACTGAATTTTGCTTATTTCTAGCACTATAATTTTACAAGTAAATTATTCAGTGAAGACAAAATGGATTCAGCAAAATAAAATATCACAAATATTAAGAAGTATACCGTGAACATTATGGAGAAGCTTCATAGGACTATAATCAGTTTCCAATCAGGCCCAGAGAAGGTGGGGGAGGCTGCAGGTGTAACTAACAGCTCTTGAGATAGCGGTCCAGCTCACAGTGATTCCCCCCTCTGTAGAAACATGGCCCTTTACATACTCAGTGATGGGCCCCAGGACTGGTCTGGCATTATATCACTCCTTCCACAAGCCACAGTTGACTGATCCAGCTAAGTTGACTGGTCAAGCCTATTAAGTCTCTGGACTTTTTTGGTCTCAAATTTAGGAAGAGAATCAGTCCCCTTCCCCACAACTCTTCTCTGTTTCTCCCAGTCTCTCTCTTTCACAAAGTTATAAGATATAAAACTTAGATGCCGCTATAGGCATGATGTTCACATCTGTAGTGAAAGTGAATAAAGCCACCCACAGAAAGAACCAAGATAAGAGGCAAAAAGCAGAGGGAGAGATTCTGGCAGTGTTGAGTTCTTGATTTTCATTGAGATGGCTCCATCCTTGCCCATTCCATGATTTAGTTTTTTGGGTTTTCTTTGTTTTTGTTTTTTAATTAATTAATTAATTAATTTTTAATATATTTTATTGATTTTTTAGAGAGGAGGAGAGAGGGATAGAGAGCTAGAAACATCGATGAGAGAGAAACATTGACCAGCTGCCTCTTGCACCCCCCCTACCGGGGATGTGCCCGCAACTAAGGTACATGCCCTTGACCGGAATCGAACCCAGGACCTTTCAGTCCGCAGACCGACGCTCTATCCATTGAGCCAAACCGGTTTCGGCCATGATTTAGTTTTTTAGCCTTTCCTTGGATTCCATGAGTCAGTAGATTCCATTTTCTATCTCTGCTAGTTCAAGCTGGGTTCTTGGCATTTGCAACCAAAATAAGAAAAGCAAGATACTTTCAGCTCTCGGCAAAGTACAAGTTTCTTCAGTCATCCCAAATCTGGGTTCGTCCAATCCAGCCACCTCCACCATGCTGCCAAAGTCTGACCCCAATGAAACCAAAGTCATATACCTGAGGAGCACTGGCGAAGAAGTTGGTGCCACATCTGCCTTACCCTCAAGATTGGACCCCTGGGTCTGTCTCCTAAAAAGATTGATGATGATCCCAAGTGTTTGGCTCAGTGATTGAGTGTCGACCTCTGAACCAGGAGGCCACAATTCAATTCCTGGTCAGGGCACATGCCTGGGTTTCGGGCTTCATCCCTACTAGGGGGTATGTAGGAGACAGCCAATCAATGATGTTTCTCTCTCACCGATGTTTCTATCTATCTGTCTCCCTCCCCCACCCCTCTCTAAAATCAATTTTTAAAAATTAAAAAAAAAAAAAAGGTTGGTGATGACATCACCAAAGCAACCAGGGATTGGAAGGATCCTCCCTCCAGTTGATGGACAGATGTAAACCCCACCTGCGGCCAGACATTCCTGAGCTCTGAACCACCAATCAGCACCTGCCAAATACCCTAAGCCCCCATTCCTAAGTCTCTAGGTCCCTAATCACCAATCAGCATGTGCTCAGTGCCCTAAGCCCCATCCCCTATCCTTAAAGGTGCTTGTACCCAGGCCCTCGCCATCTTCCGCCCCTCTCTCTGGAAGCAGCTGGCAGGGGTACTCTTCCCTCCAATGAAGCCTGTGTCCTGCCATCCCGATCTCCGGCTACCTTCTCTATTTCATCTATTACTGGGAATCACAGTAAAACGGACCATTCAGAACAGATTGGCCCAGACTGAGGTAGTACTTACCTTCTGCCTTTGCCTTCATCACCAAAGCCCTCAAAGAACCACCAAGAGACAGAAAGAAGCAAAACAAAAAAACCCAAAAAACAAAAAACACCCATTAAGCACAGTGTAAATATCACTCTTGATGAGATTGTCAACATTGCCCAGCAGATGCAGCACCAATCTTTAGCTAGGGAACTCTTTGAAAACATTAAAAAAAGATCCTGAGGAATGCCCAGTCTGCTGGCTGCAATGCTGACAGCTTTCACCCTCATGATATCATAGGTGAAATCAACAGTGGTGCAGTGGAATGCTGGGCTAGTTAAGAACTACAAAGGAAAATATTTCAGTTAAAGATCATTTGACAAAAAAAGGAAGACAATCAGATATACTATGTCTGTGACCACAAAGAACTAATCTTCATTCAGAATTAACATCTGAAATTTGTTCCGTGGAAGCTAGAAGGATGCCTGAGCATCTAGAAGTCTAGAAAGGCTGAGAGCTTTTATGACAACCCTGAGTCAGGTCTTAAGGAAAAGAAAAGTAGGCACAGCCAACAGTCAATTCTGTGTGAGCAGGATTTTGGCTTGACAAGACTGAACCACTCTAAAGCTCTGAGCAGCTGGTGTGGTGAGGAGCAACCCCATACTCTCCATCAGCTTCCTCCAAGACACTCCAAGGAACCCTGCAATATGAATTTAGACTCTCCCAATAAACACAGTTCTGCCTACCATCTTAATTTGTGCAGGAAATCTTGACCTTGAAAGCTTTCCAGTCGCCAATGTACCTAGTTTTCTTTGGGACTTGTCCTTCCTTCGAAATAAGTTTGTAAACCCAGCCTCTGCTTTCTATCTCCTCTAAGCCGCAAGGTCAAAAAGAATTCCTATAGGGAACTTGTTTGGTTGCAGCTGCAAAAGCACTGATTGGGCTTTTCCAGGAAAGCCTGTGGGACTTTCCATCCCTAGTGCAGAAACATTCAGGAAGTAGGCTCTATGGCTTCCTGCTGGCAAGCGGGAAAGAAAAGCAGGGGGCTCCTGCAGCGTGCTGGAGATGCAGGAGACCTGAGTGGCTCAGGAAAGAAATCAGTTTTACAGTGAAACCAGATACCTGACACCCTCCAGCAGCAGAAGCTGAGGAGATGGGGTGGGGTGTTGCTGATACACTGAGAGGAAAGCAGGAGGTTTGAAAGCCTTAAGTTATTATTGGTCTAAATTCTGCCAGGAAAAGAATGTAATATAGTGTTTCTTTTTATTAATTCCTCCAGGTCTTACTGAACCAGGAAAGGCTACTAATTCATTGAACTTGGTAGCTAATTAGGTAAAAATAAAGCTTACAAGTAAAAATTTTAGATTTCTTCTTCTCTTCATGGGTAGGGCTCTCTGTGTTCAGCCCAGTAGTCAAAGAATAATATACCAGAATGTAAAAACCTAAAAACTTTCTGGAAGATTTCATCTCCTTACCTTATTTTTAAATTTCCATTAGTTATGAGTTCCACAAATACTCTTCTTCCTAAGAATCTATACTAATAAAAGGGTAATACACTAATTAGACCAGACATCCCTCCAGACAAAGCTACAATGGTGGGGGCTGAGACAAAGGTGGTTAGGAGCAATCAGGCAAGCAGGGGAGCAGTTAGGGGCATCAGGCAGGCAGAGTGGATAAGGGAGATCAGGCAAGGTAGGCAGGTGAGCAGAATTAGGCATAAACTGGCAGCCGGACATTCCCAAGGGGTCTCAGATTGGAGAGGTTGCAGGCCGGGCTGAGGGGACACCCCTCCCGCCCATGTACAAATTTCATGCACCAGGCCTCTAGTATGTTGTAAGTGTTCAATAAATGCATATGAATGAATGAATGAATGAATGAATGAAATGAGGAATCACTGTATAATCTATGAGTGTCCTTTATTAAAAACAGGGCATGGAGCCCACTCTTAGGGCCTTTGGGATTGGTTCCCCACCTTCCTAATATATATGGTTGTTATCATATCAGCTAGTTTATTAATATTAATAATAGAAAGAGAGTAAGGGGGGGGGCAGACATTATAAGCACAGTCAGCTGTGCAGCCTCACCAGGAAGCTACAGCTCCATTCTCCCCAGTAAACAACCAGTCTATTCCCTGCAGATCACTGGGGGAAGGGATCGAACAAAGGGGGAGATGAGCACATGCGCAGTTAAGTTGGGGTGACATAGGAAAGGTGCTTGCCTGTCAGTCTAGCCTGGGAAAAAGATCACTGGCTAGGAGGGTGGACCCTAATGGAAGCCCATGAAATCCTAGAAGATTAAAATCTCCAAAGAGAGTTGCCTTGTGCTCTCTTGCTCTTGCACTCCTGTTTCTCACTTGCTCTGTGACCAGCATTTGCCTGTGTGCTAACCCACCATATGGCCTTAAGCAGCTGCATGGTCCATGTCCCTGTGGACCCCACATGCGATGAACTGCAGCTGGGAAGACAAGCTAAGCTAGTCAGATGCTGAACTGAACTGTAATTTTGTTGTTGTTGTTAATCCTTACCCGAGGATATTTTTTTTTCCTTTGGTTTCCTCCTGCACAAGCAGATTGAGCCTGCAACTGTGGCACATGCCCTTGACCAGAACTGAACCTGCGACCCTTCAGTCTGCCGGCCAACGCTCTGACCACCGAGCCAAACCAGTCAGGCTGGACTGTAACTTAATATGGGACAGAAAGTCTGGGCAGTGGCCTTGATCCTAGCCCTGTTGAAGATCAGATTGGACTTTTTCCATGGCAGGAAACAGAGATGGGACTTTGGAGGGAAACCCCCTTACTTTTATTCACTGAGCCAAACCGGCTAGCACTTTTTTTTTTTTTTAATCCTCACCCAAACTCCTTACTTTTACATCATCAATAAAGCTTTCCACAAAATCCCATGCTCCAATGGGGAAATTGTTTTCCCTGAGGCACCCCAAGAACTCCACTTCCACTAATAACATGACCACTGAATGCTACGTCCATGACCACTTAACTAGGGCCTGGGTTCAGGAAAGTTCCAGTCCTGGGGAAGTGGCACCTGGCAAACGGTGCCCTGTCACTGCTCCGCAGGCCTGGCCAGCCCATCACTCACCATGAGGAACATAACGCTGCCTGAGAGCTCGCTGCCAGGGAGCATCTGTTTAGCTGGCATTGACTCCTGCGGGAATCAAGCCAATGAGCTTGGGTGAGGAGTGGAGAAATCAGTCAGGAGAGAGAAAAAAGAAGGTTGGGGAGTGTGGTGCCTTGTTTCCTTAAAGACTTAACTGGCCTTTAATTTCTACAGCAGAGCACAGAGGAGGTCATTGTGGAGCCGTCTGACCGCCTCGGCTTGGCCCCAGGTTGCGGAAGGCAGAAGGCGCTCAAAAGCGATGGCGGCTGCAGCTGCTCCACACGCCAATCCTCCTCTTCACCGGCCCTGTGTCCCCGTGCGGGAATGGCGCCAAAGGCTCTCCCTGCATTTCTCAGGGGCTACCAAGCAGATGGGTCTCTATGTGAGATTTAAATTTCTACTTTTCTACGTGGAGAAGAACTGGTGGGGAAAGCCTCCCAGGCCATGTGCTTAAGAGGTTAAGGCGCGGACACCTGATTTCCCGTTGACCAATATTTTAACGAATCAATTAAACAACTTTCAGTCCCTGGGGCCATTCATACTCCAGCCAGGCTCAGGTTCACTGCCGACAAGCAGGATTTCTACCTCACCACAATTTCCCAAGTTTAACACTCAGGCCACTGACTTTATTTTCCTTGACCTATGAGCTCCACCAGGGCACAGACTATGTTTTTTTTACGTCTGTTTCCAGAACCTGGCACGGCGCCTGGTAAACAGTCATTCACTGACTGTCTAGAAGTGAGTACTTACATGCATGTTTTCCAGATTAGCAGGAAGAAAAGTCTGGTCTCAGGGAGCAGGTCAGTTGGTGAATATTTGTACTTTCATGATGATTATTAAGTAGAAGACATCAGTATAATATCCCACAAACACTACCTCTTTTATGGTACAGATCACATTAAGCATCCTGATATGGTTCTTATAGTACACCCATAAATCTCTTCCTATTAATTCCTTGGAAGCAGTCACTAGTTGTTTTTCTACTATTTTATCCATTTCCCCATCCAGTAACTGAATTAAGTAGTGGAATGAATGAACACTTACTTGCCAGACTATATTATAGTCTTTGATCTCCCCAAATCTTCCAACACATGCACTAACGTGCTTTTTAAAGAAAGTCTAGCCCCTAGAAAAACACTTGCAGAAAAAACACTTGGCACGTTAACCAAAGATAATGTTTATATGATCTCAATACCAAGTGGCAGAGAAAACAAATAAATAGCTTTGAGGCAGATCAGAATGGGGACAAATGATACAAAGCGCAGACCCAAAACATAGGAGCTGGAGATGACAGCCAGGTGAGCTACAGAATGTGGCTGTAGCCAAAAGTTGTGGATAATTCACAATGCAGACTAACTATGCCAATAAAAGGGACTGCATTGACATGAATCAATTCTGTGAGTAATCTGTCAGGTGTGTTGAGACCAGGGTTATTCAGGGAACATAATATAATAGAAGAAAATTCTGCCATGCACAGTTATGCATAGTGACATATGGTTTAGAACAGAGGCTGAGAGTGGGTAGAGGAAAGCCTTGATTCAAAGGATGGGGTTTCTCTCTGCTGCATGGTTCCCCAATAATTAATCAATCAGGGCCACACTTTATTTCCTGTGGCAGTTTTCTCTGCCACAAAGAATGCCGTCACGGCCCTAACCACACAGACCTTAAAAGCATCTGGGTGATGAAGAATAGCTTCAGATATGCCTGGGTCATTCCCAAGAGATGACTGGATATGTGTGATATTCTTAGCCTCAGTAAAAGGAGTTTCTCAAAGGGACTGAAGTGTATTCTGACACTGGCCTTTAAGTCCCTATCTATATCCTTATCACATGACTCTAACTAAAGAGATTGAATATACTTGGATCTATTAAGCAATCCTAGAGGCTGGAATAGGTTAATTAGGGCCCTGTCATCTCTGAAATAACTAATCATAGCATTATTCAGTAGCACTAAATGTGATACAGTATGTGAAAAGAATTATTCAATGTAATTTATTATGTGTGTAAAATAATTATTTAAACTTTAAGGGACATCTAATATTTAAATGTTACTATTATTTAGATATGTCAATTGCTCAGTGAAACCAAAACACTGATTGGCTAACAGAGTTCAAATCCACTAATAGAAGGCAATAAATTATACATTAGCCAGTAGATGGGAAGTTTACAGTATAGACAGAAAAATCAAATGTCAGAAAAAAGAGGCATTACTACATTATTCTAGAGGTGGATTAATAAAGGTGTGTCTATTGCTTTTATTTTTTGTTGTTTTGTTTTTATTAAGACTCCATTACCGCCACAAAAAAAAAAAAAAAAAAAAAAAAAAAACTCTCCCATTCTCTCTCTCCCTTATGATTTATAACGCCTGGAGGTCAGGGGACATTTGTGGACACACTAAAGCTCTTCGGTGGAAATGTTAGGAAGTGAAAAAGAGAAGGCAAAGACGGCTGACTCTGTGCTGGTAAGACAGTGAGACCCGCTATTTGGGACTGAGTTTAAAAAAGGGGAGGCCAGAGGAGGACCTAGGGGGCTTCTGCACAATAGGTGGATAAGTTAGATGTGAGACGCTTGAGACCATGGAGAGGCCAAAGGCAGATAAAAGGAACCGGGAATGCTGGAAGCACTCAAAGAGGTGGCTTCCTGGCTCGTATGGCTGTAGCTCTTTGTTAACAACCCCCTGACATGTGTTCAAAGAGAACCCGTGCAAAGATGAGGAGCCCTGCAGTGCAGGCAGGATGCACACTCTGCCCTCCAATGAGAAACAGCCTCAGCCAAAGGAAAATCCTGACTCAAGTGGGTGAGGTTGGGACAGCATCTCTGCCACTTTCCACTCTGTGTCAGGAACAAGGCTGGGCACAGGGGCCAGGACTGGAGAAGGTTCTGGAACAGGTCAGGCTGCAGAATCTCTTAATTAGAAACAGGAATTGAGGAAAGAGCCTGTGGTGCAGCTGTAGCAAGAAAATCTTACACACAAATTCGTGAGAATGGCTACCTCCAGGGAAAGACTGCAGGGACGGCCAAGGCTCTGTCTTGCCTGTTATGTTCATATTTAAGAAAAGAAGGTACTCATATGTTCATTGTTTAAAGACTGGTTTTAAAAATCTTAAATTTAAGAAAGAGAAAGAAGAGGGGGAGAGGTGAAAAGAAAAGGAGAAAGGAAGCAGGACACAACTGACAGTCTAGGTCTCCTTGTGGGGGTCTCCTTGGGGCCTGGGGTAAGGCAAAGGGTGGGGCTCAGAAGCAATGAAAGACACATGGCACAAATCGCAAGGGGGAAGGACCCTAAATCGGAATTCTCTAGGTCACAAGAAAGAGATGTAATAAGTAACAGAATTTTTAGAGAAAACAGTGAAGAGAAAAAGACTAGCCAGCCCTCTTCCTTACTGCCTGTCAGATGGGGGCCCCGGTTCCCCTCTCTCACACAGAAGGGAGCAAATACTGACTCCCCTGAATTGAGCCCAGAAACCCAGACGTTCTCTCCTTTTACGTCTTCTCTGCCAACCATGCCCTTGGTTGTGGAGAAATCTACTACCCTGGGTGTAAAAAATGTATCAGTATGAAGAGGGCACTTCATATGGACCTCCTACCTGCTCAGCCTGCCCGCTCAAACTTTCTACCAATGCAATGCCACCCATCTCTCCCTCCGCTCTCCCGTTAGCTCCTGACATGGAGTGGGCACTGCTGCCATACACTTGGGAATTCCCTCTGGGAGAATCCCTGAGGAGAGCGGAGACCGCCTCTTCTGGAAGGAGACGGCCTCCGGGTCTGTGGTCCTGTCCTCTGGGCTCAGGCTGGCCGCCAGGAGAGGGCAATGCCCAGCGTGGCTGGAGGCAGGCGGCCCCTGTGATTTCTCTGGGCTCACGGTCTGGTCGGCACCCTCCCACCAAAGCCGACCTAGGGCCCTGCATGCGGATGGCTCTGGGGTCCTCGCGGGGGTGAGGGCTGAGGGGCCGGTTCCGGGAAGAGGCGGGAGGCGCTGGGGGAGGGGAGCTGGGCAGTGGGAGGGGCAGTTACCTCGTTGAAGCCCTCCTGCAGGACGTCCAGAAAGTTCCCCCGGGCCAGGCACGCTAGCATGGTTCCCGCCGGGGCTCCCGGGCGGGGCTGCGGGCCGGCGGCGCCGCTCCTCCCCTGCACACAAAGGCTCGGCTCCGCTCGCGGGGACTCCTCCGGGGTCCGGCACGCCGCTCCCGGGAAGCCGGCCCTGAGCCAAACTAGCGGCTCCACTGGGCATGCTCCCCCGGAGCCGCTGCAGGGGGCCGCTGCGGCCGCCGTTCCTATGGAAACAGCGGGGGCGCGGGGGGCCGGACCCGCCGCCGGAGGGGAGCGCCCGGCGGCTGGAGGGGAGCGCCGCGTGAGCGCGCACCGCACGCACACGCACACGTGAACACGCACACACGCGCGCACACGCACACGTGAACACGCACACACGGGCGTGCCGGCGTGTGCATGCACTTGCAGCCACACTCGCGCACACCGGGTCTGCAGACGGGCGTGTCTGAGAGCGCGTGTGCGTGCCGCACACACTCAGATCCGCTGACTAAAACCGTAGCAATTCCCCGCAGCGGGGCGGGAGGAAAAGGGAGGGAATGGGGGGACTACAGTTTCTCCCTCTTCCACACGAGCTGGAAACCGCAACCTTTTCCCGAACGGGGCCTGGGCAGTGAGGTTAGGCTAAAGAGGAAGCAAAAGGGAGAAAAATAAAGAAAAGAACGAGAGAGAGAGATTGAGAGAGAGAGAGAGAGAGAGAGAGAAAGAGAGAGAGAGAGAGAATAGAAAGAGAAAACTTCCGTTATTGATGGTATTAGAACACATTTAATTGAAAGAAAGCTAAGCAAATCACACAGGATCACCACAGAAACATCAAGGGTAAACCAAGAATGATCAGGGCTTTGACAAAACAAAAACAACACACCTTTCTTTCTTTTTAGAATAACTTCTAAAATGTAAAATCCATATTTTAGTAAGTTTTAAATTAATTAAATGGGTTTTAATTGAAATAAAAACAGCAAATATGTCCTGGTGCTTTTGAAAGAGTTAAGTAAAGCTGCTCAAGTGAAAGAGCTATTCCCCTCTCTTCTTATTCAAGTCATAGACTTATTTATTTCTAAGAACACTAGCCAGTTGTACTCTCAGTGCATACTCTTTTTCTATAGGAAACAGGAAGCTGAAAGAACACCCATAGTATGTATATGTTACAACTCCTGAACCTAGATGGACGACGGAAGGGTTATAGGGTGTTAAGGCTCAGAGGGGGTTGGGGTCTTGTCCAAAGACACAGCAGTCCAGTGACAGAGACAGTTTGAGGATCTAGGACACTACACTCATCATTTTGCAGGAGGGACAGATTCTCTCCCCAAATCCCCATTAGAACCTTAGCAAGAAAGGTCAGTCATGGCTCTTATGCAACGTAATGACCTCCTCCTCAGGTCAGTAGGAAACAAATCTTTACCCAGAGCAGCCAGAGCTAGCAACATCTTGCCTACACGTTTAAAGCTGCTAAACAAAGATGCTTCTGAGAAGAGAGACGCCTTCCTTCTGACCACAGCAGGCAGGAAGCAGAAGGCCAGCAGAGGTGTTATGGCTGCTGCTGGTTGAAGACTGTGGGTTCCATTCTGGCGAAGGTTGGGGAAAAACCGTGACGAAAAATCAAACTGGACCTGAGCAGCTCACAAGTTAGAAGGCCGTCCTTCACAGCCTAGCTGGGAATTTAGTTGCTAAGAATTCCTCTCACCAGAACCACAGTCTGTACACCCTCAGCTGAGTCACTAACTCATGTGAATGCAACAAGGCCTTTTTAAAAGAGAAGTATGCCACTTCCAAGAGCATAAAATTGCGTAGACACAGTAGGAAATATTGAGTCATAAGAAGGAGGTTCTGCTGTTATCTCTGCCAAGAGGTCATTGTTTTTCAAACAACAAGTCATTTATCAAAGGAAGACCCCTGACATCAATGCTCCTGGGAAAAGACTCGTTACATCACTGAATTTTAAAGCTTAAGAAAAAAAAAAAAAAATCTCAACCAGCCTGTATTGCTCAGTGGTTGAGCACCAACCTATGAACCAGGCGGTCATGGTTAGATTCTGGGTTAGAACCATGCCAGGGTTGAGGGTTCGGTCCCCAGTACGAGGCATATAGGTGGCAGGTGATCGGTAATTCTCTCTCATCATTGATGCTTCTAGCTCTCTCTCCCTCTCCCTTCCTCTCTGAAATCAACAAAAATATATTTTAAAAACATCTCATTTGGCCCAACTCCCACATTTCACAGAGGAAGGCACCAAGGCCAAGAGAGGAGAGGGGCTTAGAGCCACACAGCTAGTCATGTGGGAGTTAAGATCTGAAGGAAGGGTCTCTGCAGCCCAAGCCTATGCAGGAGGGCTAAGGAGAGCTTTGTGGTGAACTGAGGAAAGATTTACTGTAGGGCATTTGGTCCAAGATTGCACTCTTCCCTGGAAGTCTATTCCTATACCAACCACACAGTCTACAGCAGTAGTGTCCAATAGCACTTCCTGTGAGGGTGGAAGTGTTCTATATCTGCACTGCCCAATACAGTGACCACTGGCCACAAGTGGCTAATGAAAACGTGGATCTAAAATTTAAATGGCATTTAATTGTAATTCATTTAAACTTAGATAGTACAATTTCAAAGCATTCCATTGTCCCCATACAACTATTGAAATGTTCCCAAAGTTATGATGTATTGTATATAATTTGCTCTCACACTTGGAAAAAGCACAACATTTATGTTGGGCCATATAATCTCTCTTCTCTCTCTCTCTCTCTCCCTCTCTCTCTCTCTCTCTCTCTCTCTCTCTCTCTCTCTCTCTCTCTCTCTGAATATATATTCCCTGTATTTATCATGGTCTGCTTTGGAACATGGCTCAGGTGAAGAATTGAGCTTTTGCTCTAAGTAGCACTAACATTTACTATTCCTTCCATCCTCCCATCCCACCCTACTGTGATATCAACGTAAGAGCTGGGAGAAAAGGGGGGTTAGCTAAAAGAACTAGGAATACCTAGAACAATTATCTGCACCCCATAGTGCCCCTATGCGGGAAAAGAGCAAGCCACTCTGGGTAGCTGGAACATCTCCCGCTGCTGCAGGCCTGTCAGCCACTCTGCCTGGGAGGAGAGGCAGAGTCCAAGCAAGCTGCTGTCTCCGTGTCTCTGCCTGATTTCTAAAATTATGCCAGGCTTCCTGAGCCCTGCATTATTTTAACAATGATGGTACATACCTCCCTCACCAACTGAAAGCAAAAGCTGTACAACCGTAATATAGCAAGATCGAGCTTTAACTATGAGCCAAGCCCTGTACTAAGCACTTAGATACATTATCAGCTCATTGGATGGTCAAAACTACAATAAAAAGTAGACTGTTTTATATAGTCCCCATTTTACTTATGAAGAAAGAGAGGTTTGGAGGATAAGTAATTTGCTCCAGACCCTATAGCTACTAAGTGCTGAAGTTAAAGTCCAGTTTCTTCATCATTATGCAATCATATGCAATATGATGCCTGCTACAAAGATGTTATTCATTAAATTTTAAAAAAATATATATTTTATTGATTTTATACAGAGAGGAAGGGAGAGAGATAGAGAGTTAGAAACATCGATGAGAGAGAGTCATCGATCAGCTGCCTCTTGCACACCCCCTACTGGGGATATGCCTGCAACCAAGGTACATGCCCTTGACCCGAATTGAACCTGGGACCCTTCAGTCCCCAAGCCGACGCTCTATCCATTGAGCCAAACCGGTCCCGGCTAAATGTTTTTCTTGAATGAATGAGATAGTGTAGGAAGCATCAGCAAACTCAAACGGCATTCATCACTTCTATTAATATAGATAATAATGTGTTAGCTCAAGTAAGACTTTGAGCATTAAAAGGAAATGTCATTGGTGAAAATATTGACTGTGACTTCTTGTGTAGAAGATGTGTGTAATTCTCACCTATGTAAAATTTGACACATCTGTTATGGGCAATCATTAGTGACGAAGGAGAAGCAGAAAGGCAGTTTGAATAAACAAATAGACTTGTCGACAGAAATATTTTAAATGACTCTCTGAAATTAATTTCTTAATCCTCCTTCTGTTTTCTCACATTAAGGAGTTTCTTGGCAGTAACATATGTTTAATTTCTCTATTGCATTTATCTTTAGAGACATCAGCAAAAATATACACAAAAGGGCTCATATCTACAGGCAAATGTCCCAAACGTGTCCTAGTTCCTAAACTGCTCTTTTTCCCCAGGCTTTTCTGCCCGTCCGCATCCTGTAATCTTCCTTAGACTGCTCAAATGTCTTCATCCGCTCCCTCTTCCCAGCACGTCCGATCTGAGTTCCTCACTCCCGGCTCTCAAAGCCTCCCCTTCCCAAACTGCCTATGCTCAGGTTAGCAGGCTCCACACTGACTCACAGATTTACAAGGCTCGTTTTCACCATTGGCCTTCACGATTGTCCCTCCGCCTGGAATGTCCCACCATTCTTATATCTTTCAAGCTTTCATTTAAGAGCGATGATCCATGTGTCTTTTAGACCTTGTGGGAAGCAGCCACGTCCATGGACTGCATTTAGTCCTCAAGAGCAGCGATCCGCTCCTCTGGCATGTTGGTTCCAGCCTTATTGTCTTCTACTACACACTGTATTTGAAGTTTTGCAACTCCACGCCCCACTGGAACTAGTTTAGAAGAACCCCAGACCAAGCCATCTGCGTGAATACTCCTGACACACTCCTCTCATTTTGCCATTTCCATCTCACCAGCCCAAGGTTTCGCATCTGATAAGATGGAAGACTTGGCTTTCTTTGACTCATACTGTGCAAGGCATTCTTCTCTTAGCCTCTGTGCTTCTTCACTTCCCTCATCAGATCCAAAGAGATCAATGTCATCATCGTCTTTCCTATCTGTAGCTCTACTTCCTGGGACATCTTCCATATTAGCAGGGCCATACTTGCCCAAAGCTTTCTTCACTCCTGGCAGGCTGGCCTTTTCCTTTTCGGAAGACTTGATGTGATTATACCAACGTAGGGCGTGATACAAGTTGGCAGGTGTTGGGCTGGAGACCATTTCAAACACCACATCTGCTTGTGATGGCACATACCCCTCGACATAGCGCTTGTCCGCCAGGTAGTCGCTGAGCACCAGGAGGCAAGTGGGGGTTTTCAGGTCTCCAAAACCCATGGCATCGCTGATCCTGGAGCTGCGCAGCAGCAGAGGAAGGAGGAGCGTGCAGGCAGCCGCACGAGGGCTAGTGTAGGAGACATCAGCAAACTGCTGCTACATTTCTGCTACTCACATCTTCAGTATGCCTACTTTAAGTTTCACTTTTTTTGTGAAATTTCTTTGGCCATTCTTGATTTTGTTCAAATCAAGACAGATATGATCATAATCTGTGTGGAACACTCGTCTCCCAGATAACCCATGGTTCATTCCTGCTCAGATGTCATGCTAGCTGTTTTGCCTTTGCTGATCACTCTGTTTAAAATGATAGGCTGAAACTGGTTTGGCTCAGTGAATAGAACGTCGGTCTGCGGACTGAAAGGTCCAAGGTTTGATTCTGGTCAAGGGCATGTACATTGTTTGTGGGCACATTCCCAGTGGGGGATGTGCAGGAGACAGCTGGTCGACGTTTCTAGCTTTCTATCCCTCTCCTTTCCTCTCTGTAAAAAATCAATAAAATATATTTTAAAATAAAATAAAATAAAATTATAGCATCCCCTTACACCAGCACTCCCAAACCTGATTTATCTTTTTTTCTTCCTAGCATTCATCCCATCTTGCATATTCTATATTTACTTGTTTGTTTATTGTCAGCATCCTCCTGCCCAGAATGTAAAATTCCCCATGAGGACAGGGAATTTTATCTGTTTTGTTACTGGTTAATCTTGAAAACTAAGAATATTTCCTGACACATAGTAGGTGCTCAATAGATATTGACTGAATAAATGAATGTATCTTCCTCTCTTCAAAATTCAAAGGTCATAGCATGTATGATATCACATGGAACATTATATAGTTAATTTCGGAAAGTGAATCTTTGTCTCTTACTGTATTTCCAAGACAAATATAAATAATTGCTGGCCCTGGCCAGTGTAGCTCAGTTGATTGAGCATCATCTCATGCACCAAAAGGTCGCTGGTTCAATTCCTGGTCAGGGCACATGACTCGATAGCAGGCTTCATCCCCAGTAGGGGAGGGAGAGGGTGTAGGAGGTAGCCAATCAATGTTTCTCTCTCATCACTGTTTTTATATCTTTATCCTTTTCTCTTCCTCCCTCTCTAAAAAATATATATTTAAAAAAATAAAAGCAAATCAATAAAAACATTTTAACAACAATAATAATTCTGGTATCCTTTTATATTTTTCTCTCTTTGAGGAGGCTAACAGGGGTAATTCCAATGTAACCCTCATATTTGGAGGCTAGTGATCTGAATCCAAGTCAGCAAGCTCAGTGTACATTCCTGATAACCTATAATTAAGTCCCTCTCTCCTTCCCAGGTACTGGTCTTACAGAACCGGTTACAAAGGCCATTGAACTGTGGACAGTGCACTGCCCAGATGGAGGGTTATTAATGCTGGCACCAGGCCAGGCCATCAGATATGGCCTGGAGACCCCCAACACCTGGGGCCTTCTTGCAAGGCCAGAGAAAAGGACCGGAAGCATAATCCATGCTTATGGGACAAAGACCACAGGGAGGGGACATGAGAGAGGGCCCCATGCGTGTTCCTTCACTCAGATTTGGAAGGCTGTTCCTTCCGACTTCCTCAGAAGCGTCCTTGGTCTTCTTGATCTTCTGCAACAGCTTCATCAATGTATTCTTTCATTAATTATTCATTAATTATATGTTGAGCATCTATTATATGATATTATATGCCAGGTCTTATTCTTTTATATTTTTATTTTTTTAAGCAAAAACTAAGAACTGAGATACACGTAAATACATAATACATACACACACATGCAAGAAACAAAAGACTAAAAAAAAAAAAGTAGTAAAACAAAGACTAGTAAAACCGAGACTCCAATATTAATTAGTGGGGACAGAGTGTACAGTGTGACAGACTGAGTGGGTAAAAAAAGGGAAAGAGACAGAACGGTGAGAGACTAGAGTAGGGTGTTGCCAAAGTAATCACCAGATGCTAGTGCTTAATATAAACTGTACCAAAGCAGATATGCAAATAGATTCAACATGAATTTTTAAAATTTACATTTCGAAGTTTTCTGTCAGCTATCCTGCAGGTAAGAACTAAACTAAGATGAGCGACATCTGGTGGATATTTTGGAAGAGATCCTTGAATTTCTCCCCCAGGTCTCTGGACTGCTGCATCAGGACTCCACATCACTAATCACACTCTCATGAAATAGTCTTTTTGCAGGACTCAAGGTCTCATTGCAAGAGGAGGCCATAGGACCTTTCTATTTCCCATCTAATGTCCTCTGTCTTCTTCGGAATGCATACAAAATCTGACACCACAATTCTTCTGTTAAAAAGTAACTTATTACTTAAAATGTTCACATCCTTTGACCTAGGGATTCCACTTCTGGGACTCTGCCCTAAGAAAAAAAAGTCTTAAATGAGGAAATCAATTATTTTTTACAATGGGGAGAGTGAAACATAAGAGTTCAACAATAGTGGAAAGGTAAAGAAAATTACAGACATTATAATGTTTACCAAACATTTGTACCCACATTAAAACAAACATTTTAATAACTTCGTATCAACAAACATTAAGTTAAAAAAGCAAAAGTAAAAAAATATGTATTATGACCTCAAATATGTAAATAAGACACACGGAAAAAAAGACTACAAGAAAACATTCTAAAATATTAACAGTGATTGTTTCTGGAAGGAAGGATTATGTTTTTAAAATCATAGTTTGCAATATTTTTCAAATGTTCTATAGTTAACATACTTGGTTTTGCAAAAACATTATTTAAATCTTAAAAATGCATGTTCCGATTAATCTGTAGATTGTTTCAACCTCTGCCTGGTTTTATTAATTTCAGATAAAGATAGGTAGAATTTCCATAAGGAGGGAAGCAAGAAAAGAAAGCAACTTTATTGTAATTTAGTTCCAGGATCTGAGTCCTTACGGAGAAATCCCCGGGTTGTAGGACTGCACTGAAAATCCAGTACTGTTGGCATGCTCCTCTACACAGCTCACCAGAAACTTACAGAGGGCTCTGCCGGCAGCAGGGAGCTGCAGAGTCTCATCACCACATGGGTCCCCATCTTCACAGTCCCTAGAGCCAGCTCAGGGCCACCTTGAAATAGGAGGAGGAAGAAATGTGTAAAAATACAGGTCAGGGAAAAAAAAAAAATTCCAAAAGCTAAGCCAACCTAGTGGGGTCAGGCCCCTGCCTCAAACCTACCAAAATAAGTCATCTAGAAACATCAGAAATTGATGCTGGTTAACGGGAGCTCCAGCCCAAGGTCTTATCACAACGGGTCTATCCTAACGGCATTTTAAAAAAACTAGTCACTTAGGTTTGGATGGTAGTAAACTAAAGAGTAATGCTTCCCTATCATTAGTGAAACAAGGATGCATTTCCCCTTCTCCCCGCGTATACCAGTCTAAGACCATAGCAAAGACTCCAAAGACAACCAGGAGAGATACTGCGAGCTCTGCTTCTGACGTGCACTTCCCTTCTTCTCAGAAATTCAGTATTAAACTAGAAAGGCAGCATTTATATTCTACGGCCGAAGTTTTTATAGCACTTTACAGTTACAAAGTGCTATCATCTACATCATCTTAATTGGCTGTCACAGCAGATAACTCTTGGAGATGGAGTTCATTTTACTGCCCCCGGCGAATGGGACATAGGCCCTGCCCATCAGTGGTGGAGGCCGTTTTCCAGGCACCTCTTCTGAATGCACTTGCACTCGGTCTGTGCCAGGGAACAGGCCGGGAAAACAGCGATCGTGATGCCACCGAATGGGGCCAAGCTTTGACTACACACTACCTAACCTTCCAAATGCCTCACATGCTCACACTCTAGGAAGCTGATACTATTATTACCAACTTTTTTCGTGCTGTGATTCCATTTTCAGTACTCTATCCATCTTAAGCAGCCATCCCTCTAGATACAAGCAGGGGGGCAGCCGTTATTTAGGAGCGACCGTGCCCAGGTTGAGAAAGGGAACGCGCATCACGGCTTGTCTCCACGTTCTGGAAGCCTGAGTTAGGAGTGGCACCCTAAGAACCTGCGAGCTCAGAGCGGGTTCGAAACTTCTGTCTCCCCCTTTTCCCCCCTCCCTCGCCCCTCCGCGTGCCCCCAGTTCTGATCTGGCCGCTCGGCGGGTAGAACCTCCCAGTGACCCTCCGCCTTTCAGCATTTACCTCTTCAATCGTCGGTCGGTCGCTCTGGTCCACCATCTCGGTCTCCAGCCCTTCGGAGCAGGGCCACCTTCAGCGGCGACGTCGCCGCTGCGTCCTCGCTGCCATGGTAACGCGGAGGCCCGCCGCGGCCAGCCTCCGACAGACCCGCCAGCCAGCAGCCGGTCCAGGCCCCGCCCCCCGCCAGTCCTCCCTGACCACGCCCCCTGCCCGCCCAGGCCTCGCCCCGCCCCGCCCCGCCCTCTAACGGCCCAGCGATCGCAGCCCTCGCCGGCCTGGACCCCACCCCCTACGTGTCCTGCCCCGCCCCTCGCTGGCCGAGCCGGTCCCGCCTCCTGCGAGCCTGGGCCTCGCCCTCTGACGTCCAGGCCGGGGTCCCTGTCTATACAGAGGCGCCCCCTACCGGCCGGACGCCACTCCCTCGCTCCGCCCGGGCCGGCCTCTCTCCCTGCCGGCGTGGGGCCCGCACATGCTCGCCCCAGAAAGCGCACCAGGCGTGTTCCGTGAGAGATTTATTGTTCCTAGCGGCTCAGCACCTTCGAGAACCATCGGTCCGGCCATGCAGGGCTGTCAGGATCGGTGACTGGAAGTCCTGGTAACGGATGCTTGGGAAATGCTTCCAGGCTACAAGTGTCTGTCTGTCCAGGCCAGGACGTGGACCAGCCACTGAGGAGATGACCCAAGCCCGGTCAGGGCTGTGTGCTAAAGCCAAACACCTCTTCTTCAGCTTTGGAGATCCAGGTATGTAAAAGGACATCATTAAATTAAGTGCAACAAGACCAGCTCATAAGGGGTGACCTGCTTTTTCCCCCCAGCACTTTTTTTTTTGAAGTAGGAGCAAAGGTAGGGATCAAAACCTACCTTCCCACACACTCAACCCACACCCTCGTTTTAAGTGCAGCTGCATCCACCCCTTTCTAACTCGAATACAGCTTCAAGCTCACAGCGGCCAATAAAGAGACAGGCACATGGGGAGAGAGCAAGATTGGTGGTGACACAATTCCAGGGGCCCCTGCATTCTTTAAACTTAAAATGTGGCACCATCCCGGGCTGCCACCGACTTCTCCAAAAACAGTCCATTATCCCACGGGAGTCGTGGTGAAATGGAAACGGGTCCTTCTTCCCCGAGGCTCACACGAGGGTCCCGTTCTTGCGGTCATAGCAGGGCGTGGCCTGGGGGAAGCAGAGGGTGGCATACTCTGTAGCGTTTTCTGACTGCAGGTGCTTCACCTCCCGGGCAGAGCGTGGCTGGGGATGGCTGGACACTTGGATGACTGCGTAATGTAAACCGCTGTCCTCTGACCTGGGGCCTGGCCTCCCCTGCGGGGACGCAGGCTGCTCCAACCCCTGCTTACGCGACTGTCCTGTTGTGACACGGCCCTGCGAGGAATGGACAACATTTAAGAGAGATTCTTGGCTCGGTCTGGTCCCCCACCTTCCATGATGTCCCTCTATTTTGCTCCATTATGGGGGGTACCAAGGAGGAAGGGCAGAACAAGCAAGTTCTATGATTGACCAAGATATGTCTGTGCCAGGGGAAAAGACCGAGGTCTGGCATCCCTAATCTGAGCCACCCACAAGAAGGGACAGAGATGCCGAGACCGATTTGGCTCAGTGGATAGAGCGACAGCCTGTGGACCGAAAGGTCCCGGGTTCGATTCCCGTCAAGGGCATGTGCCTTGGTTGCGTGCACATCCCCAGTCAGGGTGCTGCAGGAGGCAGCTGATCGATGTTTCTCTCTATCCCTCTCCCTTCCTCTCTGTAAAAAATCAATAAAAAAAATATTTTTTTTTTTTAAAAAGGGGGGGACAGAGGCCTGCCATTACCTTTGTGCCACTCTGCTTCTTCCGCTGCTGCTTCAGTGTCCATCTTGGCTGACCCCCTGAGAGGAGGAAATCCAATTTAAATCCATTCACTTTTCCCTGTCTCTACGAAGGTTGCCATCTTCAAATCTCTATTAAACTATTATGGTGAGCTTCTACCTAATCTCCCTACATCTGTTCTCACCTTCTTCACTTTCATCATTCCCACATCCAATAGGGAATGCAATCTGGCCCTTTTACAATCTACCCCTAATACCTTCCATCCTCATTTTCCACTGGTCCCTAACAGTTCAACGAGTACACGTGGAGAGCCCATTAGGTCCCAGGCTCTCTGCCACACTGTGGGACCAGAAGAATGCGTAGGCTGCTTCCTCTGCCTCAGGGAGCTTACAGTCTACCAGGCGAGACAAATAAGTGTGAATACTATTACAATAAGTGCTTAGCTACCCAACAACTGGTCACTTACAATCAGATCAGCCTCTACTCTCTTTTCTTTCTTTTTTTTCTGCATAATTCCCTTGCCTAAAACAGCCTCTCCTCCCTGCACCTCTTCCACCTTGTGAACTTGATATTACTTCCTCCACACTGGTGTTTCCTCCCGTCCTCCCACGGCAGGAGTACGCATCTCTTCTAGCACTGGGAGATGACATTAGAGTTACTTGTTTACATATCTCTCTCTCAAGCTTGATTTCCCCCTCTTTTAGGGCCAACACAGTATGTCCTTCCTGCCTTTCTGTCTCCTTGGGTTTATTCAGTGCCTCACATACAATGTAAGTGCTCAGTAAATTTTGGTGGACGAAGGAAAGCATGAACAAACAACCTTGCCAACTGCAACAATAGAAGGATAAAACCCAGAGTTTCAGAGCTGGTCTTGAACCCAGTAACCTAAAGATTCCCTGTAATGCACGGTCTCCCTTTATCCCTTCCAACACTACCCTTTCCCACCCTTATGCTCCTCCCAAAGACACCACTTCTGTTGTCTTCTCTAATTTGCTACCAGCTCCCCCTACCCCAGCCCCACCCAGTGCCTCTCCTCCCCCAGTTACCCATTTTCTTTTTCCTCTGGAAAACTGATGGGCAGCTCCTGTGAAAGGAAAAACAGATCACCCGTGTGTAAGAGACCCGGCCTCTGTCTTCCCTCTTTCATCATTTGCTCTGTGGCCTCTTGAACATTCCAGGATGATCTCCCCTCCCCTCCCTGAGACAGCCCCAAAGCATTTACCAAAGATACCACACCTTTCCCAAAGAGATGGTTCTGGAAGGCGGAGTGGAACAACTGACATAACCAAACCCAAAATACAGACTTAGACATGCCAGGGAGGAAGCTGGGTTGAGGCTATTCTGAGCTTGTCTAACAGGCTAATTCCAGCAGAGGATGAGAGAAACTGGCCAAGTAATGGGGTATTCCTGGATTCAGAGACCTTGCTTCTGCGTCTCTGCCATTTTAGGGGTCTCGGCCAGTCTGGGGTTCTCATTCTTGGAGTCACAGGAACTGCCACAATCAGGGCTCACTAGTTAGGGCTCCTCAGAGCCCCGTCCTGACAGGTGACCTCCCTCCCTGCTCCCCTGTCCTTGTGTTTAATTAACGAAAGTGTGAGATGTTTAACCTTTAAGGCCCACAGCACAGGGAGCTTTGAATTTGGCGAGTGACTCAGCTACCCCCAACTCACTGCAGGGCCAGATCTCATATTCAGTTCTGAGCCCCTAGGGTCCCCAGTGGAGCCGGTGTGTCTATGATCGTCAACTGTTTTATGGCCACAGAAACACTTGTCTGAGGAAATAGGTTAAATAGTTTGGAATTTTTGTCTGAGGAAATAGAATAGTTTGGAGCTTATTCCCATGCTCTTTCTTGCTAGTACATTTCCAGCTCGCACCGGGGCCAACCCTCTTTGTCTGACTTCTATCTTCTGAAGGAAGTTTCCTTTTATTGCTACTTAAAAGGAGAGGAAAACTTACAAACTTTGTCCATTTTACTATTGTGGAAAAATCAAGATTTCCCCACCCCACACATGTCTGACAGAGATTTGTGTTCTGGTTAGTTTTTGGTTTGAAGGCAGCTTGCTGAGTTGAGAGCTGTTAGTCACTACCTGAACGCTACAGGTGACTCAGAAGAAAGGCATTGAAACTATTTTCTGGGTCTTTCTACTTCCTCTTTGGCCACTTCAGTTCTTCCTTTCTCTTACCACTGCCTAGCCTTAATTCCCTGTCCTTTGTCACTATTGTCTTCCTAATTACTTCTGTTTAAATGGATAAAGAAAATATTAATTCTAAAATGACATAGGCTTGGGTGACCCAATTTTAGTAAATGGAACCTGCTCCCAAGTTCAATATTGCCCAATGCCTGGACACAACCCAAGTGGAATATTCAGTTACTCTTTGGTAACAAGACTTTATTTTTAGCTTAGAATTAAGGAAACTAAGTGGACACTCTCCCATATTGGTAATAAGAGTAAAAATTGGTGCAATCTTTCTAGAATGCAATTGGCAATAAGTATAAAAAGCCTTAAACAAATGTGTACCCTTTGATGTACCAATTCCATAGCCTAAGAAATAATCTGGAAGGTGCATATATGAATATTCATTGTAGCGTTATTTACAATGGTGAAAAACAGTAAATATTCTAAATGTTCAACATTGGGAACTGATTGAGTAAATAGGATCTCTAATGGAACATCACACATCCATTTAAGAAAAATGTTGGAAGAACACAACATTTCAATAGCATTGAAAATTTTATTCCTTATTAAGTTACTAAAAAAGGTAGTAAGATATGTTTGGAGATAAAAACCATCCCCATAGGCATTTTAAAAAGATTGCATGGGCCCTGGCTGGTTTGGCTCAGCAGACAGAGCACGTGCCTGGGGACTGGAGGGTCTCAGGTTCAGTTCTAGTCAAGGGCACATGCCCAGGTGTGCTGATTCCCAGTGGGCAGGAGGCAGCCGGTCCATGATTCTCTCTCATCATTGATGTTTTTCTCTCCCTCTCTGAAATCAATAAAAATATATTTTAAAAAAATAAAAAAATAAGATTAAATGGAAATATACTCAAATATTCCTGGCATCTCTGGGTGCTTATATTTATGGTTCTTATTTTCTGCTCTTTGGTATTTTCCAAATGTTCTACAATGATTAAATATTACTTTGTAATAAGAAAAATAGTATTTTAAATAAAAATCTCTTTACTTATCATAGTATCTTTAAACCTCTGGAAGTTATTGAGATCATGAGAAATAATTTTTACCTAGCCTTACTAATACTTTGAGAGGAAAAAATATACAGGGTGGGCAAAAGTATGTTTGCAGTTGTTTGTGTGGAAAATAATGCAATAATAATAATACAAGAATATTTTTCTAAAAACTAAATAAAACTACCTATGAAAATGAAAAAAAAAAAAATAATACAAGAATAAACTCTGTTTCGCGTACTCGCAACTATAAACCTACTTTGTTCCACCCTGTAATTTGGTTAGAATACCTGGTATAGTGTTTCAAGCCAGGCTCTAAAGTCAGACTGATGCTATCAGACTAGCTGTGTGACCTTCAGCAAGTTTTTAACTTATTAGGCTTCCATATTTTAATCAATAAAATGAGGATGGTAAAAGAACCCAAACCTTCTGGGATTATTGTAAGAATAAAATGTAAACTATTCACCTAGCTGCCTGGCATATAATGAGCATCATAAAGCTGACTACTATAACTGCCACCATTAGAGGAAAAACAAAACAAAAAGGAAGAACATGAAGACTTGGAAAGGAAGTGAAAGAAGCTGTTACACCCCCTTCTCTGGAGCTTCTTCTATATATATTTCGAGATATCTTATGTCTGTAGGACATTTCAGAGTTAAAAAAAATGCTTTTAAAAAAAATCCTGACAACATATCAGGAAGCATGTATTATTGTTCCCATTTTCCAGATGGGTCCATTAAGGCCCTAAAAACTTTGTTACTCAAAAAGGCAGAGACCAGGTTTCCTATTTTTTACTATATCTTCTGCATCTATCACTATGCCTGGTACATATAGGTATTGAATAAAATGTTTGTTTAAGAAATGAATGGAGCCCTTGCTGGTTTGGCTCAGTGGATACAGCATGGGTCTGTGGACTGAAGGGTCCCGGGGGTTCGATTCTGATCAAGAGTATGTGCCTGGATTTCGGGCTCGGTCTCCATTAGGGGGCATGCAGGAGGCAGCCAATCAATGATTCTCACCACTGATGTTTCTATTCCTCTCTCTCCCTTTACCTTCCTCTCTGAAATCAATAAAAATATATTTTAGAAAAAGAAAAAAGAAGTGAATGGATTAGTAGTAGGAACAGAACTTGAATCCAGTGTACCGACTCCAAATCATATGCCCTTTTCAATGTACCTCAATTATCTCTTTAAATATAATGATGCTGTATTCATAAACAAGGTATCTTCAACACTGCCCTAGGCTTGGAAAGGTATAACTAAGAAGGCATTGGTTATATAAAACCAAGTCGGGGGGTCTCTAGTGATGAAAACTCTGGGAAAGAACAATAAGGACATTACAATTAATTTACAATGAGGCTTTCACATGTCCTCTGCTCTTCAAACTTGTCATCTGAATGACATAGACCATGTTATCTATATTTCATATATGAGAAAAAAGAGAAGTAACAGGATTTGCCTAAGGTCACACAGCAAATAAGTGTGAAAATTATATTCAAATATTCAGATATTCCACAGTCTCCTCCTTTCTTCTGCCCTTTTAAATAAACATTTCTCCAATGTTGAGTTGCTTGACTTGGGAGGCAGTATTACACCGTGGTTTAAGGCATGGGTTCTGAAGTCAGACCGATCTAGATTGGAATCTTGGTTTCCTTGCTTACTAGTCATGTGGCCTCAGACAGCTGCTCTGGGCCTCAGCTTCTCAGCTGTAAAAACAGGAGGAGATGGAAGCCACCTCTCGCTCTCGCATAGAATTGGGAAAAGTAAATGAGATTGTAAAGGGGTAAGCTACGAGCGCTACAGTTATCATCATCATCTGGGGAGGAAGGGAAGGGACAGAAGAGAGAAGAGAGGACGAGGAGGACAAAGAGAAACAAAACCAATTCACGGTTCCAGCTCTGCTTTGGACATTCCTCTGACAGCTGGCGTGGCTGTTTTCTGAAGTCGCCTGAAAGGAGTGAGCACAGAAGGCGGTGCGGTTCTGGTGCGGCACAGGGAGGTGCCAGACAGAGGAAAGTGGCAGTGGGAGGTTGGCAGAGAACTATCTGCAGCTCGATCTCATTCTCAGGGCCTCCATATCAACCCACACAGATGTTACCCTCTCCCCTTGCCCCCTACTCACCTGCCTCCCCCGCAGCAGAGCCGGTTACCCATGGTGCTCTGTCTCCGAGGGAGCCTGGCTGTTTATCTACATAAAGAGCTTGTGCATTTCCTGGTTCCTGGTTTAGTTTTCAGTAGCAGCTCCCAGGGAGTCTCTGTCAGTGTCAGGTTTCAACCTAGCAGGTTGGACTTTGGAAGCCACCTGCTGGAAAGATTCCCAAGTGACTGCTCCCAGCCAAAGGGGAGAGGAACACACACAGGCTCCAGGTGAGAACTACCTCACCTCGGGGATTTGGAGCTGCTTTGATGAAACCATGAACTTTGAGCTTCAAGCTCCAATGAAAAGAAACCTGAGATGGGAAAGGGCTTTAGGCTTCCCTAGGAAATGTTTCTCCATGATATCACACTGTTATTGAAATATATCCTCTAGAATGGAGTAAAGAGCCTTCCCTTATTTTTCCCTGCACTATTCAGCTCTAATTGAGTTTCACTTTCAAGGTTATCAGTATCCGTTACTTATTATCCCCGACCAGAATCTGGGTTTGAAAACTGTAGTCTCTAGGAAACATTAGGTAAATGGATTTCTTTTTATTCTTTCTCCCTTGCTAATGGAATTAACGTGGGCAAATCACTTTTTTCTTAGGACTGTAATAATGAAGGACCCAACCTATTGCCTAATCCTTTTTCTGGTAAAGAATCATATGACTGCAATGGCCTCAGCACTCCTTAACCGCTCACTTCCCCATTCCCAGTACAGAACTCTAGAATCCCCACTCACAGCTCCACTCAGCTTCTTCCAATGACCTAAAGTGACAGTCATTCCACACTCACCAGCAACTAGGATGCAGTCAAGCAAATTCCTTTGTAGAGAATAAGGACTCTAGGGGGATTTTTGAAACCCATAAAGTCTGTCTCCAGTGCTCCCACCCCACCTGCCTTGTTCAGATGCCCACGTATTTGCTCCTTATGGATATCCAGGACCCACCACTCCACCCTGCGCTCCACAGAGGGTGCTCTGGACTCTTCACTCCTCCCATCTTCTTTCCTTATGAAAAATGCAGCAATAAGAGTGAGAGCCTTATAGGATTGTGGTGAAGATGAAATGAAATAATGTATATAAAGCTCTAATCCAGGGCCTGGCACATAGGAGCTCTCAGTCAGCCCGAGCTAATGTTGTTATTTCTTGTGTTCATCTAATCGTCAGAGTGTAAAGCATCTTACTTTATTATCTTGTGCTGGATCACTGCACAGTCTCTTATTTCATGACCATGCCTCTCCCTGGCAATTCATTCTGTACTCTACCATTACCTGTATTCTTTTCATCCTGTTATACAAACAGCCTGGTGCTCAAAACCTTCCAAATTTTGTCCCTTTCTGGCCAATTTCTCTAATTTAAAAGAAAACACTTAAGAGATTCTATATGGCCGAAAACGGTTTGGCTCAATGGATAAAGCATCGGTCTGCGGACTGAAAGGTCCCAGGTTCCATTCCGGTTAAGGCATGTACCTTGGTTGCGGGCACATTCCCAATAGAGGGTGTGCAAGAGGCAGCTGATTGATGTCTCTCTCTCTCTCATTGATGTTTCTAACTCTCTATCCCTCTCTCTTCCTCTTTGTAAAAAAAATCAATAAAATATATTTTTAAAAAAATTCTATATGGCTTGAAACTCCAAAGAATCAACAGTGTGCTGTGATAGCCAGATCCACCTAAAGCAGCATTAATAGCAATCCAGAGTAATAAACAAAGGCATTGGTTATTCCATTGAAGTCTGTACCAGTCAGTCCATGACTGGATTAAGTTATTTATTTATCTATTTATCTATCTATTTATTAATTTATTTATTTTCTTTTTAGAGAGAGAAACATTAACTTGTTGTTCCACCCACCTAGGCATTCACTGGTTGACTTGTGCATGTGCCTTGACCAGGCATCAATCAAACATGCAACCTTGGCACATGAGGATGACATTCCAACCAACAACTGAGCTACCCGGCCAGGGCTGGAATAATAATCTTAGTACTATATGTTGATTTTCAAGTTATGTTGTCAAAAGGCAGTGTGTTTAAGAGAGAATTGTCTCGATATCATGCTATATTACAAAGCCACTGTCCTCAAAACTGCCTGGTACTGGCATAAGAATAGACATATAGACCAATGGAACAGATCAGAGAACCCAGAAATCAACCCAAGCCATTGTGCTTAATTAATATTTGACAAAAGAGGCAAGAGCATACAATGGAGTCAAGACAGTCTCATCAATAAATGGTGTTGGGAAAATTGGAAAAATACATGCAAAAAAATGAAACTAGACCACCAACTTACACCATACACAAAAATAAACTCAAAAGGGATAAAGGACTTAAACATAAGGTGGGAAACCATAAAAATCTTAGAAGAATCCATAGGCAGCAAAATATCAAACATATATCATAGCAATATCTTTACCAATATGGCTCCTAGGACAATGGAAACTAAGAAGAAAAAAAACAAATGAGACTAATTATCTGAGATATGCAAATCAAAATGACAGTAAGGTACCATCTCACACCTGTCAGAATGGCTATCATCAACAAACTCACAAATGATAAGTACTGGCAAGAATGTGGAGAAAAGGAACCTTACTTAGTTCACTGCTGGTGGGAATATAGATAGGTGCAGCCAATGTGGAAAACAGTATGGGGTTTCCTCAAAATATTAAAAATGGAACTCCTATTTGACCCAGTAACCCCACTTCTAGGAATATATCCCAAGAAATCAGAAACACCAATCAGAAAGGATATATGAACCCTATGCTCATAGCAGCACAATTTACAATAGCTAAGATTTGGAAACAGCCTAAGTGCCCATTAACAGATAAGTGAACTAAAAAACTGTGGTACGTCTACACAATGGAATACTATGCTGCTTTAAAAAAGAAAGAACTCTTACCATTCACATCAGCATGGATGGATCTGGAGAGCATTGTGCTAAGTAAAATAAGCCAGTCAGAGAAAGATAAATATCACATCTCACATATTTGTGGAATATAATGAACAACATAAAAAAAATAGATCCAGCGGCACAGAAGCAATGAACAGACTGTCAAACTTCAGAGGGAAGGCAGGAGAGGGAGGTGGGGGTGTAAGAGATCAACCAAAGGACTTGTATGCATGCATACAGCACAACCAACAGACACAAACAATAGAGGGGTGAGGGCATGTGCTGGGGGGTGGAAGTGGCCAGGGAGAGGTTAATGGGGGGGAAAAGGAGACATATGTAATACTTTAAACAATAAAGAATAAATAAATAAATAGAGCTTATATAGCCCTAGCCAGTTTTGCTCAGTGAATAGAGCATCAGGTTGTGGACCAAAGAGTCCTGGGTTCAATTCTGATCAAGGGAATGAACCTTGGTTGCAGGCTCTTTCCCAGCCCATGCCCTGGTTGAGGCCCAAGCAGGAGGCAACCAATCAATGTTTCTCACATCGATATTTCTCTCTGACTTTCTCTCTCTCTCCCATTCTCCCTACGAACCAATGGGAAAATATCCTCAGGTGAGGATTAACAGAAAAATAATAAATAAATAAGTAAATAAAGCTCATATAAAAATCCCAGGTACAAAAAAGTTCAATGTGAAGCTGCTTTGGTTGAAATCTGAGTAGGAGCTTTTGAACTTCTTTTTCTTCTCAATTAGGGACTAAGATTCCCAAGTAGACAATAAAAGACCATGTTTTTTTATAATTTATAATTACCCTGTGTATTCCCCATAGTAAATCACTTGGGGTTGATAAATATTGAGGTATTTGATGAATGGATGAACAAATGAATATGTCAGTAGTTATGTCTCTGAAGTATGCTTTCATTTTATTTTTTTAAAATATATTTTATTGATTTTTTACAGAGAGGAAGGGAGAAGGGCGAAGGATAGATAGCTAGAAAGATCGATGAGAGAGAAGCATCGACCAGTTGCCTCCTGCACACTCCCTACTGGGGATGTGTCCGCAACCAATGTACATGCCCTTGACGGGAATCGAACCTGGGACCTTCCAGTCCACAGACCAACGCTCTATCCACTGAGCCAAACTGGTTTCAATGTATGCTTTCATTTTAAATTGATGGCAATTCTTTAACCAAAAATTGGATTCTTCAAGTGAGGGTTCTTATTCTGGGGATCCCCAGTTTTCTAAAAGGGGCATATGAATGAACTCCAAGAGCTCTATTCAAATTTTATGCCAAATTTGGGGGCATATGTATTTTTTCTGGTAAGAACATCTGTAGCTTGCTTTTGCCATATTTTCAAATGGGTCTATAATCCAACAAAGTTAAGAATAAACCACTTTAATGGAAGAATTTCAGATGTCTATCACAGCCTCATAAAAGATGTATTTGGAGCAGGAAGATCTTCTGGACACTCAACAAATCATATGCACTCAACAAATCATATGCACACACCATCCTATATAATAAAAGGCCAATATGCAAATTGTTCCTTCAGGAGTTTGACCGCTCACTATGATGTGTGTTAACCACCAGGGGGTAGTGTGGAACAGAGGAAGGCCCCCGATTGTCCCTGATCGCTGGCCAGGCCTAGAAACCCTACCGGTGCATGAATTTCATGCACCAGGCCTCTAGTATTTCTAATAATAACTCTACTACCAGAGGACATCTCCCTCACCATCAAGCTCACACCAGTAGCCCTAGACCCCTTGCATTTAGTCTTGAATTCTGTTGGGTGTTGCAGTGATTCCTCTGGGACAGTGGTCACAAACTCATTAGTCAACAGAGCCAAATATCAACAGTACAACAATTGAAATTTCTTTTGAGAGCAAAAATTTTTAAACTCAAACTTCTTCTAATGCCACTTCTTCAAAATAAACTTGCCCAGGCCATGGTGAAAGAGCCACACTCAAGGGGCCAAAGAACCGCATGTGGCTCTCGAGCCGCAGTTTGCCGACCATGGCTCTGGGATGTTCCAAGACATGAGGCAAATGCTTCCTCTCACGGGCCTCCCCATCTGCAGACGGAGATTACCGGGTTTGGGTATAATAGCAGAGGTTTTCATGTCTGTGCCCCTGCAAATACATACTTGTTTCCTCAGAATCAGAGACCATTATCAGTGGACAGACCTTAGTATGGGAAAACAGGGCTTTAGGCAACTTTCTACAGCCAAAACCAGCTTTCCCAATCCCTACCCTAAACAGGCCAGACAGTCTGGAGACCCTTGTTTTGTGTCTCTAATCACCAGCTCAGACAGTGCCGGGTGGTTGTTTGGATGGCATATCCCTTTTCCCTCCCAGGATCACTCTCTTTTGTTGCGCTGTGAGAAAGTTATGGCTCGGAATTTGGTCTGGAGCCAGTGTCAGCTTTGGTGTGATCTCAGCCTCCGAGCTGGAGGTTCTGTAATGTTGAGCGCATCTAACGGAGGAGTGTTTTTTCTAGCTATGCTCTCCTTCCCCCTTTACCCTCCCCCCCCCCCCCCCCCCCCCCCCCCCCCCATCCTCCAGGCCAGAGAATAGGAAGCAGCACAAACAAGGCCCTGAGATTTGGGTTTATTCACCTCTACCTAGAACTAAACCAAAGGCTAGGACACGTCCCACGGGACCAAACCACACACTGTGGCCCATGCACTTTTCCCTTCTCCCCAGGCCGCTGCTCTCTCTGGGGTGGTGGCAGCTGCCGTATCACCCCGGGGGTAGGCAGGCCTGGGTGCTGGGTCTGAGGCCCTCAGGGCCCCGCCGGGGCTGCCTCCTCCGCTTCCTCCGGATCCGGAGGCGGCGGGAGGAGGGAGATGTAGACCTCATTGACCTCTGTGTCCAAATGCCGGCCCCCCCGGGGCGCCTCCAGGCTGAGGATGCCGTCGTGGGAGAGCGCGGCGCGGACCCGCCAGGGGTCCACGTCGGCGGGCAGGACGTAGGTGCGGCAGAACTCCCGGGACACGAAGCCGTGGCGGTCCAGGCGCTGCGGGTGCCGGGCGGACACCTCCAGCAGGTTGTCCACAGTCCTCACGGTCACCTCGTCGGGGGTGAAGTGGCTCACGTCCAGGAACACCTGGAACTTGCCCTCGCTGAGCCGGAGCTCGGACGCCCCCGCCCTGCCGCCCTCCCCGGCTCCCGTGGCCCGGGGCCGCACGTAGTAGCCGTGGTAGAGGGTGGGGGTCAGGATCTCTTCCGGCAGGAGGCCTGGGGCAGAGAGGAGGAAGAGGCGGGTGAGGGGGAGTGAGGGGGACAGGGGTGATGGAGACCTAGAACCAGGGAGAGCCGGTGGGGTCGGGGGGAAGCAGGGGAGGTGAAGAGAGGGGAGAGAGGGGGCTCAGGGCTGGAAGGAGGCAGGATGAGGGAATGTGAGGGGGAACAGGGGTGATGGAGACCTAGAACCAGGGAGAGCCCGTGGGGGTCAGGAGAAGCAGGGGAGGGGAGAGAGGGGGCAGAGAGGAGGAAGAGGCGGGTGAGGGGGAGTGAGGAGGACAGGGGTGATGGAGACCTGAGAACCAGGGAGAGCCGGTGGGGGGTCGGGGGAAGCAGGGGAGGGCAGGGAGGGGGCTCAGGGTTGGAAGGAGGCAGGATGAGGGGGAGTGAGGAGAGTAGGGGTGATGGAGACCTAGATCCAGATCCAGGGGGAGTCGGTGGAGGGTCAGGAGGAGGAGGGGAGGGTAGGGAGGGGGCCCAGGGCTGGAAGGAGGCAGGTGGGAGAGGGATTGAGGAAGGAAATGAGATGCGGGTGGAGGAGCCCAAGCTGACCCGGGTGGACAGGGGACAGGAAGGCGCTCCGGGAGGACGGGCAGGTGCCAGGGCCTGGGCTGAGGTCAGGAGCCGGGAGGAGAGAGCCGCCCGGAGGCGGCGGGAGCCGGCAGGGGTTCAGCTAAGCCCCGTGGGGCGCAGGCCAGCGCCCCGGGAGGCCGGCCAGGACGCGGGCGGCGGGGGCCCGGGCCATACCTTCTCCGAAGCGCTGCTCGCCCAGGCGGCTCGGGTTGGCGAACTCGTACTCGGCGGTGGCCGGGTGGGCGTGGGGCACCGAGCGGCCCTCCATGGCTGCCGACGGACAGGCGCCCTGCACCGGGGTGCGGCGCGACCCTCCAGCTGCCGAGGCCGCGGGGGGCGGGTCTGCACCCAAAATAGTGCGGCCGCCGGAGGGCGCGGCCGGAGCCAGTCCGCCGCCCCGGGGGCCCCGACCCCGGCCCGCCGCCCCGCAGCTGTCCGGGCGCCGGGGGGTGGGGGTCCTGGCTGGGAGTGAGGGGGGCGGGCGAGCTGACGGGGGTCCTGGAGAGCCCGGGGGGACCTCCCAGCCGTGCCCACACAGCCTTTCTCCCGGTTTATCGCAGGCACCCTGCGCCCTGCACCTGCTCATAAAGCTCCTTATTTAATGACCTGCGGCCCTTCACAGGGGGAAGGTGCAGGAATCCCCCCCTTCTGTGGTTTGTGGTGAGGGGTCTTTGTGCCCAGATTCATGTCGGGGGTCCCCGCCAGAGCCCAGGTCAACCTTGAGAAGCACACAGCTGCCTGCCGCTGGCATGCCATCACTGCTCCAAGCCAGGGGCCACAAGGAGTTAACGTCCCTGGGGCCCAGCCAGGGAAGATTCCAGCTCCTGCCCAGGCCCAAGATAGTTGCTGGCCCCAGTCCCCTGGCGGGCGGGCTGGAGAGGAGGGGCCACCCCTGCCTGCTTGGAATTCCTGGCCGAGTCCCAAGGGGAGAGGGGAGGGTGCCACTGGGTGTGGACAGAAAACTAGGGAAACAAGCCCAGGACAAGTCACTGGACGGGCCAGGCGTGTTTATATTTCTCTTTTCTTAGCTCAGTGAGTACTGGGTATGTGTCACACTGCCAAATCCCTGATCACAAGTCTGCGTGAAGGGGCGGTGAGCTGGGATAATAAAACCCCTGACATCATCATTCCAGAAGCTTCACAGGACTGAGTATATAAGGGGCTGGCTGCAGCCGCAGCTGAAGGAGCCGAGCAGCCAGCCGACCCCGACACCCACCCGCGGCCATGGACATCGCCATCCACCACCCCTGGATCCGCCGCCCCTTCTTCCCTTTCCACTCGCCCAGCCGCCTCTTCGACCAGTTCTTCGGGGAGCACCTGCTGGAGTCTGACCTCTTCCCCACCTCCACCTCCCTGAGCCCCTTCTACCTTCGGCCACCCTCATTCCTGCGGGCCCCCAGCTGGATTGACACCGGGCTCTCAGAGGTAGGTCTCCCTCCACAGGCAGGAGAATTTCCGGAACCTTCTGGAAACATTTCCATCTGCTCTGCTTTCCCTCTGTCTGAATCTGGTCAGAGGGGATGCTGTGTCTAAGTGTCTTATGAAGCCTGCAGTGAAGAAAGATGAGGTTGCTAGTTTCTCCCCCAGTCACCTGCTTGGCTTTGATGCTCCTCTGTATCCCACTTACCACATCTTTTCCGTGTGCTATGAAGATGATCTTTTATCCCCTAACTTTTCAGCTGCACGCCCCTTTCTGGCTTGGTTCATAAAGATCTACAAGGAAAGAGCTGCCTGCAGACTCCTTTGCTTGCCACTTCTAATTCTCATCCTCCTGAAAACGTGTATCATTTCATGTTTCAGAGCCAGGAGACAGCGCTACCCCAGCCCTTTTCACCCCGACAGCGTGGAGCTGGAGACAGCAACCACGATTTCTTTCTATGATTTCCCCAGTTTCTCAGGGCAGTGTCAGGCACTAGCCTGGGTCCAAACCTAGAGAGAAAAGAATGTCTGCCCAGTCTTGGGACCCCTACTTGTCCTAAAAGGGTGGGAAAACGGGTGAGCACATAAGGTTGACAGAAGCTGTCGCTGATAACTGTTTTAAAAATATCCAAGTGTGAGTAAACAGGAGCTGCGTGAGCAAGGGCTTTGGAAGGATACTCAGGGCCAGCAGAACATTCCAGATTGAGTGGGTGGGAAAGTTGGCAGAGACCTGAGCAAGAAGAAGGGGCCTTTGTCTCACAGACAAATGACAAAGCCAGGCATTGGGGCCAGAGAGGCAGCAGAAGCCATGCCCAGACCCATCCCTGCGACTGGTCTCCTGGATGGCCTGTCTTCTTCCCTGTCCCTGTAAATAAAGTTTGGATCTAATGACCAAGTGGTGTGCCTTGGGTACCACTATGTTGGCTCCCCTGAACCACAGAGCCATGTTTATTCAAAAAAGGATGTTTAGCCAAAAAGAGGAGGATAAAGTGCCTGGGAAGAAAGCAGAATGAGACTCCACTAATAATCCACATTCTGACCATTGTTTTCTCTGACCCCTTTCTCCCACCTTGCTGTTACTAGATGCGTCTGGAGAAAGACAGATTCTCCGTCAACCTGGATGTGAAGCACTTCTCCCCAGAAGAACTCAAGGTCAAGGTGCTGGGAGATGTGATTGAGGTGCACGGCAAACACGAAGAGCGCCAGGTGTGTAGCTTTCTCTTCTGTTCATTCACTCGCACACACTATGTGCCAGACACTGTCACCAGCTCTGAGGCTGGCAACATTCCAGTCCTAAGCCATCAGGGTCTGGAAACAGGGCTAACCCTGGTATTGTTATTGTTTTGGCCGGAGAAGGGATCTTTGTTGTTTGCTTTAATTTTATTTGATTGCCTTAGATGGGATAGATGGGATGTTCACTCCCCATTTAAGCCAATGGTTCTCAACCGCGATCACATTAGAATCACAAGGGGAATTTAGAAATATTCCAGTGCTAAGGCGCATCTCAGACCAATTAAATCAGAATTCTTAGGGATGGGACACAGGCATCAGCATTTTAAAAAGCTCCCTTGGTCATTGTAATGTACGGTCTAGGTTGAGTAGCACTGATTCAGGCATAGTGCCTGTCGGACACCTAATTACATTAACTGTATGCACTCTGAAGGCACTTGAGTTTGGGACTTTTTGATGTTCAGGAATCCTCTTCTCTTTAGCCCACCTTAACATTGAACTACTTGGTTTGCCTCAGTTTCAGAGCTGTCCTCATCTCCTAATACCCTGGTGCACAGATAGAAATCCATTGAGAGTCTGTCTGTATAAATACCTGAGATTCAGGACGTTTAGTAGAATTCTGAAGAATGGAATAGCTAGCTTCTCATTACTTTCCAGGAGGGAGTTTTAATAAGTTTGTTTGTTTTTTAACCAATTAGTGATAACTCAGAGCCTTGTACAATTAACAGTGTTAGTTTGAAGTCCTCACGCCGTTTCCATTTTGTGATTTGGGTCACAATCCTATTTTAATAGCATCAGTCCTCTTGGTCTAGAACATTCTGGGACATTCCTGAAGAGTCAGAACACTATCTGAGCTTCCTCGGGCACTTAGATCTTCCATGCCGGATGATATCCCAAAACGTGTAGTCCTGACAAACATTGACCTAAATCTTTGGGAAATATCTCTAAGCATATCCATGCCTTAGGGTTTGAGAGCTGTGAGGCTTTACCTGTTTCAGACTTCTCAGATTCTTGTCAAAGGAGTGACCACCAAGACAACTTCATCTTAGCCCCAAATAGAAAAACTTTCTCTCATGTTGCCATGACATTGGTCCCACCTAAAAGGGGATGGGGAAGGGAATGTCTGAGTTCTAAGCAGGTGCCACTTTTTCCTGTTCTCATCTCTCCGCCTCTTTCCTCGTTCCCTTGGGTTAGGATGAACACGGTTTCATTTCCCGGGAGTTCCACAGGAAATACCGGATCCCAGCAGACGTGGACCCTCTTGCCATCACTTCATCCCTGTCATCTGATGGGGTCCTCAGTGTGAATGGACCAAGGAAACAGGCCGCTGGCCCTGAGCGCACCATTCCCATCACTCGTGAAGATAGGCCCGCTGTCACTGCAGCCTCCAAGAAGTAGATGCCCTTTCTCTCATTGAATTTTTTAAAACGGGAACGTTTCTCCACCAGTGACTAAAACTCTCTCGACTAGTGCTGAAGCTTATTAATACTAAGGGCAGGCCCAAATTATTAAGCTAATAAAATGTCATTCAGCAACAGATAACTGCCTTGTGCTTGAATATTCATGTGTGTTTTTTATTGGAAAAATACAGCAGGTCCATTTATTCAAAGGATATTAGAGTCAGAGTGATATAAATTTAGTAAGTCACTTAACCTTTCTGGGCTTTAGATCTTTCATTTATAACATGGGGTACTGATCTATACACTTTTTAAAAGATAATGTTTTTATTGATTTCGGAGAGGAAGGGAGAGGGAGAGAGAGATAGAAACATTAATTATGAGAGAGAATCATTGATAGGCTACCTCTTAAAACCCCCCATACTGGGGATCCAGCCTGAAACCCATACATGTGTCCTGACTGGGAATTGAACCATGACCTCCTGGTTCGATCTCAGAGACTGAGCCACACCTGTTGGGTTGATATGTACACTTTTTGTAAGGAGTAAATTAAGAAGAAAAAAAATAAAGTTCTTAGCAGATTTCAAGGAATACCAGTTTCTCTCTCTTCTCCCTCTTTGATTTTGGCCCTCAGTTCCAACAACAAATCTGAATGAACTCTGGATAACAACACATAAAAGGCCCTAGTACATCTCTGAAATTATTCATGTGTTGGGGGAGGAGAGACAGTGTCCCCAAAGTTATTTGGAATTTTCCTGCTGTTAAGCATTGCCTTCAGCTGACTCGCAAAGGCAATAAAAAGGAATTGGGTGATCAGCATCAGAAAAGCCTCTCAGGTGTAGTCCAAAATTATCCGGCAAATACCTACTAAAACTAAGACTGGAAAATTTCCAATTCAATGACCCACCATAAAAAAAAAGTTAAGTTTTAGAATTATAATGAATAACTGATTAACAAATGGTTCTATTATTTAACTTAAAAAAATATATTAATCTTTAAAAACATTTTCATTTCACTTCTGTGAGTCTAAACTTCTGATTTAATTAATGAGAAGTGGCCCTGTATAGGCAATCTAGCATAAATGTTTTTCTTTCTTTCTTTCTCTAACTCTGATCTCCATTTCATTTTCTACATTTCCCCCCAGTTCTGAGCCAGGTTTTATAATGATGAGTGGGGCTGCTGTCCTGCTATTATACTGAATACTGTCATGGAGCCCAGGATAGCTTATGTAAATTTATAATCATCATGCTATGTCTGAGTCTTCCCACCTCACTAAGCCCAGAGTTTCTATTCAACAAAGCCAGAAGTTTGATGGAAAGGATTTTTCCATATTTCTTTCACAAATGGAAAAATCCCATCACAGCCTCCTGACTTTAAGTAATGAGCGGGTTTCTTTCATCTTGGATCAAGCTCTTTTAGTCTGTAGAAGTGAAACTCTGAGCTGCCACTGTCTGCTTCTAGACCGAGAGGCCGATATGCACGTCCTCCTGAATTTTGTTTTTGTTTATTTAAACATTTTGTTATTAATTTTGCCCATATTGTTATTTATCTTTTCTACTTTATTTATTTATTATTATTTTTTTAAAATATATTTTATTGATTTTGTACAGAGAGGAAGGGAGAGAGATAGAGAGCTAGAAACATCAATGAGAGAGAGTCATCGATCAGCTGCCTCCTGCACACCCCTTACTGGGGATATACCCGCAACCAAGGTACATGCCCTTGACTGGAATCAAACCCGGGTCCCTTCGGTCCCCAAGCAGACGCTCTATCCATTGAGCCAAACCAGTCTCGGCTATCTTTTCTACTTTAAAACACTCTACCACTGCTATGTATTAGGAACAAAGGGATTGCATCAAACATGAACTTATTATTCTACTCTGTCAAAAAGTCTGTCCCCTAATTACTTTTGACCTACCACTTTCCTGAAGCTATTTGTGAAAGTGAAAGTTTTGCTAAATCTAATGGACCATTCTGACAATCCATTTGACTACCTACCTCTTCCTTCTTTAAACTTCATTCTCTTTGTTTCTGTGACATTGTGCTAATTACATTTTCTCCCACCTTTCTGACCACTTTTCTGTCTTTTATAAGTTCATTTTTCTGCCGAAACCGGTGTGGCTCAGTGGATAGGGTGTCGGCCTGCGGACTGAGAGGTCCTGGGTTCGATTCCGGTCATGGGCATGTACCTTGGTTTCTGGCAGATGGGATGTGCAGGAGGCAGCTGATCAATGATGTTTCTCTCTCTCATCAATGTTTCCAGCTCTCTATCCCTTGCCCTGCCTCTCTGTAAAAAAAAAAAAAAAAAAAAAAAAAACAAAACAATAAGTTCATTTTTCTCTGTGAATCATTTAAGTTTGCCTTTCTAATGGTTCTACTGTTGGCCTTTCCTTTTTATTTTATTTTAATATATTTTATTGATTTTTTACAGACAGGAAGGGAGGATAGAGTTAGAAAAATCGATGAGAGAGAAATATCCGTCAGCTGCCTCCTGCACACCCCTTACTGGGGATGTGCCCGCAACCCTGGTACATGCCCTTGACTGGAATGGAACCTGGGACCCCCAGTCCTAAGGCCAACGTTCTATCCATTGAGCCACTCTGGCCAGGGCACACCCTGCTCTTAACATCCAGCACCAACACAGGTTTGGTGGCCACACCAGAAACCTCTGCCTCCCGGGTCCACACCTTGTTGATCTTCTCAGGTCTTGGCACTGGCTGCCTCTCTCTCCTCCCCTGTCTGGCCTCGTCTCCTCTCTCTGTCATGGCTCATCCTGTGTTTCGTGCTTATCTGCCCACAGGGCGGGGCCTTAAACAGCCTCAGAAACACCGAGGATTTCATTTCATTCTCGTTAGTCCCTCTGCCTTGCGGCTCAGTTAACGCAGGGCAGGGGTGTAGTGGGCAGCGAGTCGATTATTCAGGACCAATTCAGTTACTCGGCAAGCGTTCACTGAGCACCTGCTGTGCGCCAATCCATGCCCTTCTTTTTGATAAGCCCAGATTATCCTATCAACTCCCATACCTTCACTCTCACCTGTGTGCTTGCATATTCTAAATTTATACCAGGTGTGTCACCAGGAAAACTGAAATTACATATCTAACTACTTTTTAAATATGTCCACTTGAATTCCCTAAGGCTCACAAATTCAACATACCTACAACTGTATTTATAATCCTCAGTCTCAATATTTTCTCCTCCTAATGTGTTCCATATATTGGTGAATGTTATGTATCTTAACCACTCATTCTTATTTTTAATATTATATATTATACAACTTCACACAGTTGTCAAAACCAGAAATCAAGGAATTATTTGACCTACTTTGAAAAACAAAACAGGCAACAATAAAATCAACAAAAAGAAAAATTAAGGAATAACTTAATTTGAAAAGAGCAGCCGAAACCAGTTTGGCTCAGTAGATAGAGTGTCGGACTGCAGACTGAAAGGTTCCGGGTTCGATTCCGGTCAAGGACATGTACCTGGGTTGCTGGCACATCCCCAGTAGGGGGTGTGCAGGAGGCAGCTGATCGATGATTCTCTCTCATCGATGTTTCTAACTCTCTATCCCTCTCTCTTCCTTTCTGTAAAAAATCAATAAAATATATTATAAATAATTTGAAAAGAGCAATAAATATTAAATAAAAAGCAGAGATTTAAAAACATGGATATGAAAAAGAACTTTTTAAATATATCAGAGATTAGTTGATGTTATAAATGCCATAAGGGACAAATTTGCACATTTATAAATTTAAAGATAGCTCAGGAATTCACTCAGAATGCAGCAAGTTGGGGAAAAATATATTTTTTAAAAATCAGAACAATTAAGATACATGGAAGAAAGAATGAAAGACTCCAATGTATATCCAAAGGGGTGTTTTAGAAGAATTCATGGGAAAAAATGATAAAGCATTATTTGAAGAGATTTCCCAGAATTGAAGAGAGATGTGAGTTCTCAGATACTGGGCATTATAAATAAAACTAAATATACACCTAAAAATATCACTGTGACAATTCAAAACAATAAGGATAATGAGAAAAATCTTAAAATGCATGAAGTTAAAAAGATATATTAATTATGAATTAATTACAACTAGATTGACAGCAGATTTCTCAGCATTAATAAAAAAAGATAATGGAGTGGGGGGAAAATGGAGTGGCTCAGCTTTCATGGCTCAGTGATTGAGCATTGACCTATGAACCAGGAGGTCATGGTTCAATTCCTGGTCAGGGCACATGCTCGGTTTGTAGGCTCCATTCCCAGTATGGAGTGTACAGGGGGCAGCTGATCAATGATTCTCTCTCGTCATTGGTATTTCTATCTCTCTCTCTCTCCTTTTTTTTTTCTCTCTGAAATAAATAAAAATACATTTTTAAAAAAGATAATGGAGTGAGGCAAGAACATACAATGGAGACAAGACATTCCCTTCAATAAATGATATTGGGAAAATTGGACAGATACATGCAAAAAAAGAAAAAAAGAAAAAAAAGAAACTAGACCACCAACTTGCACCATACACAGATAAACTCAAAATGATAAAAGACTTAAATGTAAGTTGGGATACCATAAAAATTCTAGAAGAAACCGTAGGCAGCAAAATCTCAGTCATCTCTCATAGCAATATGTTTATTGATGCATCTACTAAGGCGAAGGAAACTAGGGCAAAAATAAACAAATGGGACTATATATAAAAGCTTCTGCAAAGCAAAAGAAACCATCAACAAAACAAAAAGGGAGCCCACTGTATGGGAGAACATATTTAGCAATGATATATCTGATAAAGGGTTAATATCCAAAATGTATTGTGTAAGGAACTCATAAAACTTAACAAAAGGAAGGTAAACAATACAATTAAAAAATGGGCAAAGGACCTAAATAGACACTTCTCCAAAGTGGACATACAGATGGCTAAGGGACATATGAAAAAAATGCTCACAGTCTCTGATCATCAGAGAGATGTAAATTAAAACAACAATGAGGTATCACTTTACACCAGTCAGAATGGCTAGCATCAACAAATCAATAAATAACAAATACTGGTAAAGATGTGGAGAAAAGGGAACCCTAGTACATTGCTGGTGGGAATGTATACTGGAGCAGTCATTATGAAAACAATGATGGAGTTTCCTAAAAAAACATCAAT